CCCTGGCCTGGGGATGCGCCCAGGGAGGGGCCGGGCCCGGTGGCTGCAGACCTGAGCAGCGCAGCCACCGGGAGCCCAAATGGCCATCAGCAGTGACCTGGTCGAGGCCACGGAGAAGAGTCTTCCTCCGGCAGCACCTGTGACCCACCGCCAGGCACCTGTGACGGCGGTGGACACCAGAGCCCGCAGGGACAGCGCCCAGGGCAGCCGGAGGAGTCGCTTTCCCGACGCGGCCTGGCCAGCGGGCGCCGACTCAGGGTCACGCCAGGAGAGACCGCTGCTTGCAGCCGGCCACAGGCCCTCAGCCCGCGGGCCACGGCGTGGGGTGGGGTCCGGCACGCTGACCCTCGGGCGCACGCAGTGCGGACGGTCGGTGCCCACCACCGCGCGGGGCCTCTCACCAAAGCCCACCTCGGGGGGCCACCATGCTCCCGGCTCCCGGGAGGGGCCTGCTCGCTGGGACCCCACGTGCCAGCTGCGGGGCGCCCCAGAGCCGGCATGGGCCCCGCAGGATGGGCCAGGGGCAGAACCTCGCCTCGCACACGGGACGGCCCGCGTTTACTCCGCGCTTCTCGGGGGTCGCTCAGAACACAAGCACCCGCCCGCTGGGGCCTGGCTGGGCCCTTGAGGGGCTCCCACCCTCGGACGGCACCTTCCCCTTTTGAAGGACATGCTCTCCTGTCCTGGGGAGACCACCTGTCAGTGACCGCAGACGGAGGCATGTCCAGTCCCAAAGGAGAGACGCAGACTGGGCGAGGGGGAACCCCGAGGGCTCTCGGCACCAGCCCCTGCCCGTGCCCCAGGCCCAGGGCTGGGCCAGTGTGCAGAGGGCAAGAGGCAGCCTCCGCCCTCACCCTCCTCCCGGCCCCCTGACAGCAGGAGGCGCCTCGGGGAGGGGAGAAGGGCGGGAAAGGGCGGGAGAATGGCGGAATTTCGGTTACAGGCGCCTGGACAGATGGGCGCATTCAGGCCACACAAAGGAGCCGACCACCGTCGGAACGCCCCCAGGGACAGGAGCCCGCCCAGGGCAGCGCAGCAGTGACTCGGGGCCACCCGGCAGGGCCATGTCCAGGGCACAGAGGCGCAGGGGTGGCGCAGCCCCCAAGGCGGCAGGGCAGGTGCTCGGGCAGGCAGTGTCCGGCAGGCCAGGGCAGACCCGAGATCAGCAGCGGGGGACCGGCCCTCGGCCCTCTGGAGTCCAGGCTGGGCAGCCCCTCCTGCAGCCTGGGGCCCCGCTCAGGAGCGCAGGCCACAGGCTGCCCAGGCCGCCCCCCCCATCTTGCCACCCGCCGCCGCTCTCTCTGGCCGTGGCTGGGCGCACAGCCTGGGCCGCTCCGGGGAGGTGCGGGAGGGAGGGGAGCATGGCCCAGGGGCTCCCCACCCACGCCTCAGCCCCCTCAGGCCTCCCCTCCGGAAGCCCAGGCCCAGGGCATCTCTGCCCTCCAGGATTCCCGGCCCCCAGCGCTCAGGCGCCCCAGGCTACAGGTTCCGTCCGGCTTGCGGCCAGCCAACCCCACGGCCGGCCAGCCCGGAAGAGCCACCCAACAGCGGGCCTTTGTTGGCCGCACAAGGAAACACAATTAGCGTAAAACCCTGGAAGCCTGCGCGAAGGGGGAGTCATCGGGCTTCTAGGGACAAGGCGGGCGTCCCGCCTGCCAGCAGCCTGCCAAGCGGCGCCTGCCCTCTGCAGCCCGGGGACAGCTGGGCAGTGGGGGCCGGCCAGTGGGCAGCAGCCACTCCTGCAAGCACCCCTCCACCGGGGAGCCAGTCTCGACTGGACCCACCCCTGGACATCACCATGGTGAGACGGGGCGGGGCGGTGCCGGGGGGGCAGTGGAAGGCAGCAAGGGCGGCGGCGGGGGGGGGGGGTCGCCGGACAGCCCAGCGCAGGGCAGCTCTGGGGCTCGGCAAAGTCTGGCCAGAAAGGGCCAAACGAGGCTCCCCTGGCCGCCCCCAGAGCTCTGACCCAGCAGGTCCAGGCGGGGCAGAGGAGCAATTCCTGCTGATACCTGCGGACTCCTTGGGGACCCCAGGTGGGCACCCCCAATGCCCCGCCCCCCCCGCTGCTGTCTGCCCGGCCCTCGGGAGGCGGCCCCTCAGCCGGGTGCCTGCAGGCCAAGGGGTTTCTCAGCCGGACGCCCCTTTGGGCTCAGGCCTGTTCTTCCTGCCCTGCTGGACGCTGGCCAGGCGTGCGAGCGCTTCTTCAGCTGCCAGCTCGCCACACCACCAAGTGTGCACTTCACGGCGTTGCGGTGCAGCGCCCGCCGTCGGGCCACACCGGCGCATGGCGGGGTCCCAGCCGGCTGGCAGGGCTCCGGGATGGCGGGCGGCATCCTCTGGATCCCGCGCTTACCCCCAGCTGTGGACCTGAGAGCTGCAGACCTCGCAAAGCAGGTGACCGACGCCCGCCGCGCCCGGCCGCAGCTGGACCGTCTGCCAGCCACCCAGCAACAAGTGAGCGCCGCACGCTGCTGGCGGGCGCTTGCTTGTTCTGGAAGGCCCGAGGAGAACAAAGTGCCCCGGGCGCGAGTCTGGAGGGGCTGGCAGCAGGCGCCCGGCTCGGGAGGGAGACAGGGCAGGGCCCAGCCCCGCCACCCGCGACCCGCAGCCCCAGCCCTGAGCGCCAGGGGCTTTCGCCGCCGGGCGCAGCGCCACTCGCGGAGCCTCCGAGGTTTCCGGGGTGCGCTGGCTGGACTCTCAGGAAACCCCGCGGGGCTGGACGTGGCCTCAAAACAGAGGTGCGGGGAGAGACCAGCACTTTGCTGCCCCGCGCCCACGGAAATGTGTGATTAGAGGTCAGCCCGGCGCGGCGGGCTCCAGGGCAGCTGCGGGCAGGGCCGGCGGGCGGACGCCGGGT